TTTTTTGGAATGCTTTGATAGCGGAGGTGGCATATGACCTTCTGCATTTGAGATCTGATGGCTCAGGAATAGCTATGCTATTGGCCATCAGTCCCTATTCTCATATACAGAACTATTGCCAAGCTAAGAAAAGCCTTAGAGACAGCTGGCTTTTCTAAGAAGCAGTTCCCATTGTTACATTCACTAAGACTTCTGGACCCCTGAGGTATACAAGGGAGTGTCTGAGTTGTAAGTATCAAAAGAAATTAATTATTCCATATTATAATTAAGGCTTTTTTAATTAGCTGAATAATTAGAACTTTCCTTGCCTTACACTGCACCTTTTCCCATAGCCAGATAATCTGGAACTTTAGAGCTATTTACCTAAGTAAAAGGCATTTCCAGCACCAACAATTCTCTTTCTGTAATAAGAAGGAGTAAATAACAGCTCTGCTGCAGCTGCAAGAAAGGCAGCGCTCTTTAAAAGTCGTCTGTCAAGTCAGGCTTGTCCCTCAAAATGTATGTTTTGTAAAAGCCTTCAGAAAATGTTGGGTCGAACTGTTTTAGTGTTATTGTGGGGAAATCAATATTTCCCTGCAGCCTTTGCAACCCCCAAATTGTAGCGTGTTGTTTGTGCAGAAGGAGCTGAAAGTGAAACTGCCTAAAAAAGAGAGTAAACCAGCCTGTTTCTATGATTTGCCCTAAAAGCACCCGAGGTAAACAAAATGACACACTTGGGCAGTTCTCCCAGTGTAAAGAGATGAAGGGGGGGGTGATGGTGGGGTTTGGGGAAGGGGTTTTGATTCTGTTTCACTCTTTGTCCCTCTTTCCTCCCATCTCCTTCAATGCCCATCTCACCCTTCCCATCTCCTTCATGCCTATGCTGTGTGAGATACCATGCAGCGTGTCTTCCAGGCTTTGTTCTCCAGTGAAAGCACCAGGGAAATCATGCAGGGTTCCCATGTGCTGTGACACTGAAATGACTGAGTTGCCTGCAGTGGTTCCCCCACCATTGCAGAAGAGAAAACCTTTTAGTTTTGCTCTGAAATACCAATATTCAGAGCATCAGAGGTGGGAGCACCAGATCCATCAGGTGTGATGCATTTGTGAGCCCTGAGCTGGCAAAGACATGGACAACATTCCTGTGTATTCCTGATCCCCTGCTATGGACTCTGCCAGATGCCATGGCCTTGAGTCAAATGCTCTGTAGGATTAGGTCTTGGTTAGGTCATACCGGGAGGAATAGAATTTATGGTCTTAGGTACCATGGTTGTAGATGGGTATTGAAAGCTGTAGAAACTGAGTTCAGAAAGGAGCCACATTGGTCTGGGGAGCTTGGCTGAAACCTCTGTGAAGAATATGAAAGCAGAAAGTCTGAGAGGCACATAACTGCTCACAGACACACCGGGGTGGATGCAGCAGCTTCACAATGCGCTGTGTTCACCTGCATCAGACAGAAAAAGAAGGTTAAGCCAGGTTGTGGGAGCAGGAGGGCAGAGAGCAAAGGACCGCAGGAAAGAAAACGCAGTGCTGCCTGGCAAAGAGACTGCTCCCTTTGTGTGCTTTGTGCTTGGGCTGAAACATCTTCACAGGGCTTTTTCTCCCTCTAATCTGGAAATAATTCTGATTTATTTTAAGCCTTCCATTAAGACAAGTCACGCAGCACTGCCTGGCTGGCAGCAGGAGGCTCTGTGTGTGTGTGTGTGCCCGTCAATGTGTGTGTGTATCTCCAAGGGTGCTGCCTGCCTTCTTTAGTTGACACTGCAGTCAATTATTGTGTTTTCAATTATATATAAAAGGCAATGATGGAGTTTTTCAGCTTTTATAGGGCCACAAATCACAGGGTCCTTCACTGCATGAGCAGCGTCGCTGCCACAGTGTAGCATGGGAAATCACAACTTGTATGAGCAGACGTGCAGAGGAACCAGTGCCATCAGGGACCCACACACTACAGGAGGACCACCATGGGGCAGGTGAGCCCTTGCTCTTTGCATGGTCCTTCAGGCACCATACCCTGCCTGACAGCCAAGGGCGGTGTGGTTCACGGGTTATGCCACAAAAGGGCAGGAAGATCTGTTTTCTGTGTGCTTCCCATGTTCAGCAACATGTTTTTGAAGGAGCTCTACAGCTTTCTGTCATAGAACCATAGAATCATAAAGCCATAGAATCATAGAATGGGTTGGAAGGGACCTTAAGATCATCCAGTTCCAATGCCATGGGCAGGGACACCTCACACTAGACCATGTTGCTCAAGGCTCTCTCCAACCTGGCCTTGGACAGTGCCAGGGATGGAACATTTACCACTTCTTTGGACAACCTGTTCCAGTGCCTCACCACCTTCACAGGGAAGAGCACATAGGATGAGCAAGGAGGAGTTACAGAGGCTAGGTGAGAAGATCATTCATAAGAAGGGTTATGATACAGAAAATGACATGGGCTACAGCACAGCTTACCGTGAGTATCTTAGGCACACAGTGGGTCTCCTGCCAGCCCAAAGCAAATGGGTAGATCTGAAGTAAGCAGGCTGGAAAACTGTTGGAAACTAGTGTCTGTTTCACAGCCTGATCATTTAGTCGTACATAATATAGTCACCCAAAGCTGTATTTGCAAAGCTAACCCTAGAGACAAAGGGTTGGGACTGGCAGATGAGGAGTGTTTTCCTTTGAAACTAGACTGTATAAGGGAAGCCAGAGGATGTAATAGTGCATGGGCACCACAGTCCTCATCAGCAGCCAAAAGATGCTGTCTTCCATCTAGAGATCTGAACAAGGACTCACCGCTGTCAGGCTTGGTCTTTCCTCAGCTTTGGCGTTTAGGTATATTAATGCACATGGAAATGCCCCCACATTGCCTGGTACAAGGCAGTACGAGCCATGCTGAGCTTCTCCAGTGTTGTGCAGTAAAAGAGATATAAACCAAGCCATTTTTATTCTGCTCCATGCTGGCAGGGAAAGGGGTGTCTGAAGGCATCACCAGACTGCATTTTACTGGTGGCAGATTGGTGGCAACCCAGCAGTCAAGTCCATGAGCGCGAGGCTGTGAGAGGCTGAGCAGCGCAGGAATAGAAATCAAATCATTGCCACATAGGGTGAACAAGAACACTTGAGTTCTGAGACTCCAGTAAGCAAGCAAGTGAGAAAAATAAGCATAAGTTGTCAGCTGTACTGGATAGACTGACTGCAGTGCTGACTGGGAAAGGAGTAGTGACCGTGATGACGGGGATGGAGACATGTAGAATGATCCCATTTCACCCAGGCCGTACCCCAGGAATTTATGGTCCTTTGCATAATGAGCTACAAGCTGTAATAAGTAGAGTAAATAAATGGATAAAGAGAATCCTGTCATGGTATAGATGGGGGATCCCATCATGGCTTAGAATGCCGCTAATGCAGGGAGACAGGGACCAGCATGAAAGAGAGACCACTGAAAGACTTGGTTACTACTCCAAGCTGAGCTTTCACTATGGAATGGGGATATTTGTGTGGAGTGGATTGTGGCTTTAGGCAAACAGCCCAGTTAGACCAATTCTGATGGAAATCCTGGAACTAATGCTGGCAGAATGCCCACTGATTGGACTCTGCATGGCACTGCTCCCTGCAGTGGGGAGAGAAAGTAGGCTCTGGTTGTTATGATGAGTGTTGGGATTTTGAACTGGTTTGGCATTGAAGCTGAAAGAAAATTAAAACCCAGATGAGGGTTTGGAATCATTACTGCTAGAAAACAACTCCTGGGATAGCTGCTGCATTATTGCTGGGGGAGCCTGAGGGCCCATTGATTCCAAACGGGGATTCAGAATCGCAGTGCTAGAGGTTAGGCATGACAACAGGACCTGGAACTCTGCTGACATAAATGGGGGGCTGGGAGGGTTCTTTGGAAAGAAAAGGAACTAGAGACAAATGTGGTCAAAGCCATTGGTAGCAGTGATAATAACTTCCACTACTCAGGGTCATGAGGACAAACCAGCCCAAAGCTCTGGAGGATGAGAGGGAACTTTGCAGTCCTGCAGTGTGTGGCACTCTGCCCGCAGGAAGGCAGCGGGTGTTTTGCCTCTACTGGATAAGTCTTGGAAATGGGATTTGAAGTAGATGTGAAACAGGGTTTGGAAGGAGCTACGGAGCCTGGGAGAAGGCCTGGCTAGGTGGACTATAAAACCCATTAGAGTCTTAATGCACAAATTGGCAGAACTGTGCAGTAGCAATGAAAACCGAGATACTGGGAGCCCGAGCTGTTATTAGATTCTGGTGCCTCAGTGACTACTGGAATTGCTATTTTGTGATAGCGTGGGTGCCTACGAAGTACATCATGGAGACAAGAGTGTACAGTGGTCTCCTGTGGTGCAGGGAGTGTATCAGCTCTGCTCCTACACCCTCTCCCAGTGCAAACTGCTCACTGCAGAGCGTGGCTGAGTTTTCTTGTATTCAGGGTCATGTGCAGGATAATAAAAATGGGCTTTTCAGCAACTATTCCTGAAACAAAATGGGTTACCTTAGATCTGACTAACTTTGGAAGGATAATGCAGAAAGAGAAGCGCTCCTAATTGCCTTACATACAAAATGATGTACTCCTGTAAAGGTTCCTGAAATAGTCAGACCACCTCACGATGAGGGTGAGTTACCTTTCTGCAAGCATAAGCCTGAGATAAGTTGGACTATGGAGTATGGAAAGATTAATGCCTTTGCTTTAATAACGGGGCTTGATCCAAGACTGCAGAAAGGATGTAAGTACCCAAGCAGAGCCCAGAAAGCCTGGTGGATCAAGGAATGTCAGTGCAGTGACCCAGTGGGTGTAATTCCCAGGGTGGCTGGTATTAAAGGGAGATAGGAAGATGCATCTGCCTGTGGATTTCAGAGCATTAAATGCTGTAGCTCCGCAAACATCACCTCTCCTTGTTAAAATGTCAGAAATTACGGCTGCAGTAGTACAAGGAGCTAAGTGGTTTTCAGACATGGAGCTAGCAAATGCATTTTTCTTTCAGCAGTGAAATGTTGGTAAAAGTTTGTGGTTTTTGCATTTCTGGAGAAGCAAAATTGTTGCACGTGAGCTCCTCAAGGATTTTGCAAGCTCCTGTGACCTGTCACATCCGCATCATCTGAATGTGGGAGAAAGCAGCCTGCAGGTCCAGGGAGCATGTAACATCACATATGGATCATACCTGAACTGGAGGGATTCTGAAGGACAAGCCTGTCAGCGGAGAGAAGCTTTTGGCTGCAACCCAGGAAGAAGGATTTAAAGCCAACAGACAAAAGGTTCAATTAGTGCAACAAGAGGTAATATATTTAGGAGCAATGCTAGGTATTGAAGGCCAGACTTGTGATAAACAGAGTGTGGAATTAATGCAGACGCTGCCCAGCCCCACCGCTCTGCCTAGCGAAGAGCGCTGCAAGGCACATTTAATTGTATGCAGGGTTTTATTCTGATGCTCACTGAAGTGAGTCGTCATCCAGCTAAGCTCTTAGAGAAAGCTAGGCAGTGGGAGCAGGGTGCAGAGAACCAGGCAGCTTGGCTACGGCTGAAGCCAGCCCCAGCCCAGGCTGCAGTGGTGGGCTCTCTGAATGCAGGAACCCTCTTCATATGTGGTTTGCCTCTCTTAGCCAGGAAGGAGGTGCCAATCTGGCACAAAAGCCCGTGTTCCAGGCAATTGTCTGTGTATCTTCAGTCTTACTGACACCACAACTCCTTGTCAAAAGGAATGAGGATGATATCGTTGGAGGAAGGCCAATGGCACAACACACCAGTCATGCTTGCTTGGAATACATTGTGTTCAATACAGCACAAGGTGATGCATGTCTAGCTCTTGGTTGGCACAAGGGAACCTCAGATTAATGAATTAGGAATTAGACCTGGGAAAGAGCATGGGACGCAGCACCTCCATATATTCATGGCGGAGTGTGCTGAACATGTCAGATTCTGCAGCCTCCTGGTGTGCAGTGGCCTGTGCAGGTTTAATTGTCTCTGTCAAAACGTATCCACATAAGCCAGAACTCTGCTTTACAGGTGGTTCAAGCTCCCCTAAGATAAGGCTTGCAGGAGTTTTGCTCCAGTCCATGTAAAGAAGAGCAGGAGGCAGTGGGGCAGGTCTCGCCTCGCTCAGTAGAAGAGGCAGGAATCCCAAGCTGCATTGTAAGGTGTGCTGCCCCGAGGTGGGAGCAAACAAAGGTGAAGGATTTCATTTTGCTGAATGAGGGTTTTGCCCAGCTAAGAATAAAACTACACACAGCAGAATACCCACAAACCTCGGGGTAGGAAGAACTTGGCTTCTAAAGGAAGCTTTAAGGGTGTTAGTACAGGTGAACAGTAAAAGTTAGGATGTGGTGTTCCCATCTAATTGGCTCCACAAATGACTACGGTCAGCCGTGATTATATTCCTTTTAAGACCATGACATGAAGGGAGATGTGACTGACAGCCATTGGTGGTGAAAAACCTCTGTAGCAGTTGAATAGCAACTGAAGGGTCTCACAGATTAATGGATAAAAGGATTTGACAAACTGCAGTAGGATTATCAAGAAATAGCTGAGCAATTAGGGCAAAATGTTCATAGAATAGATAAAAGGTAGAGAACAGTAAATAACCAACATGAAGAATGGCAAGTAGGCTGCCAGGTGTATATCATGGGTTTCCTGGAAAGAAACACAACTTGGGCTGGCATGGATCTGGCATTAGCACAGATAAAGGCATTTCCATTGTATATTAGTTCAAGTAAGTTCTGACAACGCGAGGCAGTTTCATCAATCACAGCCCAAGCTTTGGAGAGCAGAAAAAGGCTAAGCTACAGGAAAAATGTTCTTTATTTTTTAAAATCACATAAAAGAGTGACTGTTAACCAGTCACTAGGCTTGGATCAGCCCAGAAACATGGATTTGCTGTCATGTGTAAGAATAGCTCTTCCAGCTGCTGTGTTGGGCATTGATGCTGCCAAAGCTGGGAACATGGTTAACAGTGCTTGGCTTCTTTCTCTTCTGCCTCTTGTATCAGGGCAAGGTCTATGTGGAGTTCCCTTTGTGTTACAGTAGGGAGAATAGGACTGGAAGGAGCAGAGCTGTCAGTGATGCTGCCCAAGGTGGTTGCATCCTCCTCCTGGCTAGTTTGGACTTCCTCTGTCTGAGCAAAGCACATTGTGCAGTCCGTATGAGTGGTCAGTGTGATAAAACCATTGAATGGGCCTTGATACACTCAATATTGGACAGCAGCATGGCCTGTGTCCCTGAGATGTCCTAGTTCCCTGATCATCCAGAACTGGGATGGCTTAAAGCTGCATTAGTCCCACTTTTCCACATCTAGTCATGCTTTGTTGTGGCTGTTAGAAGAGCGGTGTCACCCAGCAGTTCCAAAGTCCTCATGTTTGATTTCCTTTGCTCTTTTCTCCATTTTACAGAGTCCCATCCACTTAATTTTTCAAGTATTGTATTTAACAAGGAGATACCCCTCTTTCTGAGAGGCCAGCAGTCTGCTAACAAGTACTGTAGGCACAGCCATGCACTACTGTTCCTGTCACCTCTAATCACACAGTGATCACCATCATGCCAAATCCCTTCCTCCCATCTGCATGCCATGAATTACATGGAACACTCCCTCACCCCTCAGCGCAGCCTGAGCTTTTCTTGGCTTTCTCCATCTTTGGCCCTCCCCAGTCTGTGCAAGCAATCCAGGGGCTCCAAAGAGGAAAAGTGCCTTGTTACGATGAAGGGTCTCTAACTCACTACTTTTTCCTGTCAAAGCGACTAGTTTGATTGCCATGAACTGGAATCCCTTGAGAGAAAGCAAGCTAAAAACGTCTTTCAGCAGCCTTTTCTCTTTGCCCTCCTGGTGCAGGTTGAAAACGAGAAGAAAAGTGGGGGGGGGGGGGGGGAAGATAAAAAGAAAAGCAAAAAATGTTCAAAAAGGCAGAATTTCCAGAGCCCAAACAGTCTGTGGGACAATAGGAGATAATGATTCCACCTCTGTGCCCTGCTCCTGCCGGACGGGGGTTTTGAACACGGCATCTGCCGGAGGTGGTTAAAGACCTGAGCACTCTGAATGTGGAGCCGTGGTGATGAGCTGAAAAGCTTGTTGCTCACGTTGCAAACAAAGACTTAACAGAGGGCAGAGGTAAAACCATCTGGGACCCGGCCTTCTAATCAGGCCCATGCTGTGAGCTCATGGTATTAATCCAAGAGCCGGTGACACGAAGGCGGGAGGATTGCGTGACCCGGAGCCCATCCAGCGGTAGCTTACACTACCCAGTACCCTGTGTTCCATTTAATAAACTCCATTGATACGTTTAATAAAGACACCTCGCGCTTCCACAGTTTCATGTGTGACCTCGCTGTGGTGGCCACCGCAAACACAAAGTAAGAGAGTCAAGGATCATTAGCTGAGCAGGCAAAACTGCCCCTTCCCTTGCTCTTCTGTTTCTCCTGTGAACATCAACTGCTTGGGAATCAGTGATTGCTTGTAATCCTACCTGTCTCCATTGCAGAAGGGCCAGGCTTCTGTGAGAGCCTGGTTAAAACTACAACATCATTGCCTGCAGCTTGGGGAGCTTTCATCCTGCTTGCTGCCTTTGGATGCCTCGTGCCAGCACCCACCTTCTGCCCAGGGCTGTGTTTAGAGGCTCCCCGTAACCCCATAGGCTGCTCTCACCCCATCTCCTCCCAATTCGCTGGTGAGGAAGAAGCATCTGCAGCCACCAGGGGCCAGAGGAAATCCATTAGTAACCCCCAAGCACCCTTTGGAGGGTCCAGGGCTGCGCTGCACAAGCCGGGGACCTTCGGCTTCTCATAAAGGTCATCTGCCTCAGCAGGGGAAGGAAAAGATTGATGTGTACCTCTGCAGTTCTCTTTTCTAGGCAGACTAATGAAAACTTGGTAAGAAAAATGTCTGGTTTAAAACCTAGAGGCAAGGGTTTGTTTGGTACATTTTCTGTTAAGTTTGGACTTTGGGTTTGAGGCTTTTTGGGGTGTTTCTTTAATGATGATGTGATTTAGCGGTGGGTTTTTTGCATTACAGTGTCAGTTGTCAAACAAGCCTCCTGATTGATTTGTTTTTTCATGTCTAGCTTTCAACATCCTCAAAGGCATCTAATTGTTCAGGACATACTGAGGATCTGCACTCAGAGAAATCAAGCCTCGAGTGGAACTCCCCTGAAAGCAGAGGCACCAGGAAGCCAAGATTAGTTTTCAGCAAGTAAGTGGTTTTCATTTTTTGGCTTTCTCAAGGACTCTTTCAAGGGCTAAGCAGATGGCTGGGAGACCCACAGAATGGAAACCTGCCATTTTAATGGGGACAGCAAAGTGTGTGTGGAGGGGGGTCAGTTGTTTGGGGGTTCTGTTAGTTAAATCGCCTTTTTGTTTGACAGCAATTTAGGCTATTTATGCAGCTGAGATGCCAGTGCAGTTTTTGTGCGTGTGGACTCTTCCTCTCCAACAAAGGACGGAGGAAATTGCCACACTAATTTTCTGAGCTTCCTAACGGCTCTGAAGCATGACCAGAAGAGCAATTTCTTACTTAAAAATACAAAGGCACATAAAAGAATAAGAGCGTGCACAGACCAGTTCAGTTCATTCAGCCTCTTGAAAACTTCAGGCAGCTATGGCTACATGCTCATTCCATCCTAAATGAAGACATGGGCCTGTGCTGAAGACAGGGTTTTCCAGGAACATTTAGGGCTATGTTAGTCTTTGGGCAGCCTGGAGTAACCGTCAGCCTGCTGTGCCCTAGCATCAGTGATGTGCTTCAGGGAGGCTCTAAACCCTTGCTGCTATGAGGCGTGATGGCCACAAGCAGGCAAAGCCCATGGGATGGGCAGCACAAGCCACAGGCTCCCATGTCCCCCAGCCCCGAGCCTGGCCAGCCAAGATACAGCACATCTATACCCTGAGGTCCAGGCAAAACCAAGCCTTTGTGCCCTGGGAAGAGGAAACAAAACCCAACCCCCAGCGTATTAACTCATATCTAGTGCACACCATCTGGATGTACCAAAATGCCTTGTTACAGAGGAAAAAGAATGCTGATCTTGCATCTGCAAGTGGAAAAACTGAGCTTTAGGTGGTTCCTCTCCTTAGGGAGCCCCATGCACTCCCAGGGATCCTGTGCCCACTGAGCATTGGCTTCTCTGCTCACGTGCATACACACCCCACCACCCTGTGGCTATGTTTGGATGTATTTGCTCTATAGCTGTCCCACACATTTTCCTCGCTAGCCTGTCATAGCCATTACTAAAATATGCTTATCTCATATATGCAAATAGCAGGATATTTATAAGATTCTTTAAAATTTCCATAATTGTGCTGTAAAAAAAAATCTCTTTACTTATCTCACAAAGTGTCGTAACCGCAGCGTTACTTTCATTGAAATCCAAAAATCACTCAGCAAAATAAGAGGAGTTTAAAAAGTGACTTATGCTTCTGAAACAGAAGGGAAAGTGAGCAAGCAAACCAGGGCTTTATTATTTTAAATTAGAAAGTTTAATGCTCACCAAAAAGGATATAAACTGTAAATGTATTTTAGCAGTTCCTAGAGAAAAAGGGAGAGGTTTTAATAATAACACTGTGTGTGCTCTTATATCATTTTCATTAGAAAAATCTCTGAGCACTTTCTGGTTATTAAAGAATGGAATGCCTCGGAAGACTCTGGGGAGGCACTATAGGGAAGTAAGGTAACAAATATAAGTCCACATTATGCTCCATATTGTGATTACTTGGAACTTTCCAGCCATCTTGGGAATCTACAGCTGCCTGCTACAGCTCAGGGTTACAAGTCTACCTCCCCAGCACAACCTTGCTGGGCTGTGTCGGTAGTTGGCTATGGCAATGCAAAAGGCTTCCTTGCATGTACCCACTCATTTCATGGGTGAACAAACCCCTGGAAGGGGTTTCCCATACTCAAAGGTGTAGAACAGAAATGAACAACAGGGGGTGGCCAAGCCCTTCACTGTGCTCATCGTGGGTTCCTGTCCCTTGGGGAGCACTGCAGGGATTCCTCCGCTTCCTTTGGGAGGGGTCTGACCCCATATGAGTAGATTCCTCACTGGGCACAGGAACATTCCCAGGCCATTCATCAAGGGAATGATCTGGAGAGGACAGAAAAATAAGATATTAGCCTATATTTAGCAAGAGTCGTAAAATGTTCCCTGGAACAACAAAAGGAGGAAGAGCAGCTGTAAAGGTAGAGGATATTCCCTGGGCTGATGAAGAAAATAAAATTAAGACAATCCCTGGTGTTTAATTTCAGCAAATACAATAGGCAGAGTGAGTGCCCAAAGAGGAACAGCGTGTTAACATAACTTAGACAAACAGGAGCCAAACTGTTGGCCTGACAGAAAAACGAGAGAGCCCATCGGTGCAATGGAGGAAAAGAGTAAACTGAAAACCAGATGGCTCATAGATGTGATTGCATCTTCAGCTTCAGCGAGAGGAAAGAAGGAAGGGGAATACGTATATTATAGGCAGGCCAGGAAGACAAAAGCTGGAAAAACATACACAGAGAGAAGAGGCAGACTTGTCATAATGAAGTTAATTAAAATAGCAGGACCTCAAGTTATTTTTGGTCCCAGTGTTAGAAAGCCCAGAATTCCAAGCCTCATTCTTCATTAATACAAAACCTTTCCTATTTCATCCATTCTCAGAAAAGGGACCTCTTCCTTTCTGTGCTAGATAGTGAGTCAAGGCAGATGGGAATTATTCTGAGCTTGGAGAAAACAAAGAAGTGCAAATTAATGGCTTACTGGCAGAAAGGCAGTTTCAAGCACTTTGCCAAGGCACATTTTATTCCTACACTTATCCTACATGCATAGTTTTGTCTTTGATTCTGTGTAGATCAGAAGTGCATGGCCAAGCAGAGATGCCTATCTATATTGTGGAGTGGGCATTGAAACAAGGAAGCAAAAAGCAGATAAAAGAAAAGGGGGAAAACCAATCTTATAATAATGGCTGGTGCAATGACTCAACAACTTGCTTCATATCACTCAGTAGACAGAAAATAGATCAAGCCTGTCTTGCCAACTTGAACTCATCCCATAGTTTCTCTGTGGGTTTATATTCATCTGTGCTTCACTGTCACACATATAGATATGTATGTATATGCACATCCACACATTACATATGAAGAAGCACTGATTGGTTGCAGGGGGTCCTCACAGCCATAGGGACCCTGGCCAGGATCCATGTTCTGCCGTAATAAGAAGCTTTGCTTTTGGCTTCAAAAGTGGCACGGCTTCCCTCCAGCTTCCTTTGCAGCAGTAAAGCTTTAAATCTGTAGCTGGACTTTGTCTGCCCAGGACCATACTTCAACCACCCTTCTGTGAGAAATGTGGAAATGGTCTGACTGTGCAAATTAATCGTGCACAAACCATTTCAGATATGATGCCGACAGTATTTCAGTCATCATTTGGCAAGAAGGTGGAGGCAGAAACTCAAAGTGCACTTGTGTTGGAATAGTGTTGATTCTTTCATAACCATTACCTCTCAAGACCTCAATTTTATATCCCTTGGGAACAGATTCTCTCTGTGCTTAGGGGATTAGAAGCAGGAGATCAGGAGATGGTTCAGTTCTTGTTATGACTTTCAGCTGCTTTCCTAACTTCGTGCCACCTTTTATTCCCCTTGTGTAAAATTAGGATAATGACATTTCATCCTATGACAGCAGTTTAATGCATTTATGTCTAAAATGCTCAGGTAAAGGTGTTAATACCTTTCAGAGATTATTGTTTATTACCACAATTGTGATTACTGATAATTCTGAGAGCTTCACTCTCGCATAGGTAATAAGAGCAAAATGTTATGAACATCTTGTCTTATTTTGAACTTAATGCCAATTTTGTTCTGAATTAATTCCTTTGAATAGAATTATTCCTGAACTACATCAACTAGGGACCGGCATCTGACCCCCAGTGTTTAAGAACTGCAGATAATCATGGGTGAAAAGAGATGAAAATACATTTTATCTAAGAAGTATCTACTGTTGTGATAGAGACTGAAATTAAAGTATAATCCAAAGAGAGGAGGGGGGTAGGAGAGAGAGTATTCTTTAATTAAAATCAGCTACCTCAAAAGATGGGTATTCTCAGGAGTGATATTTGCAGTGTGCTGAAGGCTTTCCACTTAAACCCTGGATGATGCAAGGAAAGAGGATTCTGAAGAAGTAATATTGGCATTAGCAGATAGCCACTTGCCACTGCAAAGTAAGGCAAAATTTGCAGAGCAAAATACATGGACGATAGAACGGAAAGATGGACAAAATAGGAAGTTATCTGAAACAAAACCTCATGATTATCCTGCAGTAAATGAATAGTTTGGCAAAGAAAGAGACCCAAGATAGAGACTTGGAGATACAGAAAGAAAAATTAAACCAGAAGCAGCCGAGATCAATGAAAACAATCAGCACTTTCTGCCAAGAGATATGTTAAAAAGACTGAAACTGAGGCTTTAGATAACGTGTTCAGAATGATCTGCTGTCCCACCCACCATCTCCATAGCAATTAATGGTCTCAGCCAAGGACGAATTATGGTTCCAGCCATAGAGGTTGGACAGACCCCCTGTGAAAGGCTGTAGGTGAAAGGCACAGTGTCCATTTTGGGGTTGTTCTGGTAGGTCTTGTGCAGGTAACACCTTCCTCACCTCCGGAGAGATGCTGCTTCTGACAACATGGGAACCACAGAGAGTGCGCTTGAGGGGAGTACTTCTGACGAGCGTTCCACAGTGAATCCTGCTCTGTTCTCATTTTAGTTACCATCACAGATGGCTTCCTGCAATACAAAGAAGGCTCCTGGCAAGGCAGTTTGCTGGATAATGTTAGAATTGGATGTGATGGGAGTATTACCTCACAGAAACACCCATTCACCAGCATTTTTTTCATTGTGTGTTCAGCACAGCAGATTTGAGCAGCTACTTTGCACTGGCTCCCTCACACAGACATAAATCTCTCCTGCATGAATCTTGTCTAACAGCTATCTGCAACCAGGTGGTCTCTGTGAGAAGTGGTTGTGCTGCAGGGAGGAAAAGTGTATCCTCTTTTGTGCCTTCCCTTTAAAAAGCCTATGTCAGTGGTAAAGAGGAGATGCTGCTCTAATGGAGTATCTGTGGGGACCATGGGCAATGGCATGAGCAGCACCCTCCCTGCGCCCTGGGCACTCTAATGGTAGGGAGAGGATGCACATAGCTTCAGCGCCTATAAATGTCTCGTAGAT